CCTTTGAGGCAAGGATCACCCCACCCCGGCTTTTCGAGGCCTGGAGACGATGCATTTGTGGCAGGGATTTGTTGCTTGAGTCAACAAAAGGATGACCTGCCTGCAGTTTGAGGTCCTCCCATTTAGAAGACTGCCGAACTGCCTGGGCCCAGGGATCGTGAACCGTCAAAGGATCAACAGGGCCTGTTGTGGGGCAGCTGGTGACACGCTGGCATCAGCGTCCTGAGCTCCTGCCGACAGATATTCCGCAGGACCCGGTCTCGATAGGATGCGATGCAAGAAGTTGGCACGAACCGAATAAGGAAGCTTTCTGAGTGAATCATCCTCCGTAGAGTCTGCCCATGCTTCATTTGCCCTGTCAAGAATGAGGCTCATGATTTGACTAAACTGCGACTGGAACAGTGCTTGTGTCATCTGTCTAGACACGAGCGGGATTGGAATCCTATAGCGGTCGAAAAGCCTCCCAAGCCCTTCTGGTGTAGGGGCATCACCGGAGACGAAGGTGACATTGCTAGAGCGCACGGCAAACAATCTGCCGAAAGCATCGGCAAGGGTCTGCGGATCGACTGTTTCCGGCAGTGTGTCGGTAAACAGCACGAAAAGTGTCTGGCCGTGCGCAAAGACATCGCATTGTACCCAACGACGTCCAACTCGGAGAGGCGCAACAATGTCCGTACAGCCCGCGAGTGGCCTTTGAACCCCTGTGATGGAACGAAAAGCAGTGGACTGCGGATCCCAAACAAGCTGTGCGAAGCGTACGGACGGAGGACGTCAAGTGCAAAGTCGATTTCGTCACTTGCAGCCCATGTTGGTTCACACCGGAAGTCCTCGAGTCTTCGGTTGAGATAGTCGAGAAGGTGACGAGGCGTCTCTCCTGAAAAGGGTGACATAGTGGCCGCTCTTGCATCAGGATTGATCTCAATCGAATGGACATTGGTGGACAAAGGCATAGTGACTGCGGAAGACACTGCGGTTGTAGACCTGGCAAGAAATGCAAGGACACGAGTTCGGCACTGCGTTGCAAAACGAAGGAGCACCGGGCTAGCACCAGAAGCACGCCAGTCCTCCTGGCTGGCCTCAATGGCAATGTGGATCGCTTGCAGCTTAGCTGGTGGAATTGCTGTGAGATCAACTGGGTCAGTCCAATCTTCAATTGGCAGCATAGCACTCCATCGATGCAGCAGAGTCCACCCACACAAGTTGAAGATCTGCTCCCGCCACGCAAGTTGACATCGAAGATCCTCGCAAGAATCTGATGTAGGCGTACTTGCAGTTCCGGTGGCACGAACCAACACGACCTGGATAACCTCAGCTAAGCGAATTACCTCAACACCTGCCCAATGATTGTCGATCAGCAAAGGCAGGATGGAGATGGTATTGTTGTGAAAGCCAAACTGCTGCCCATCGCACGGCACCAATTCGTTGATTCTTGTGTCCCAAAAGACAGGGACAAGGAATTGGATGTTCGGAGTGGACCAGTTGAAAATGGATGTAATGTGCCAAACTTCATCAGTTGCCGCCCATCCGTCAGTGTTGGCAGCAAACTCGCATCTCTCACCGAAAGTGGCTCCGGGGAGGAGGACAAGCCGTTTCTTACAAACATCATGCACGCCACCTGCTCGCACAATCTGGTGCGAAAGTACGAAAACATCGCCATCGGCGGGCGCAAGAGTAGGGTCAAAGGCAAATCCATTGTGAAGCTGGCATGTCGGTCGATGGGAGGAACCCGTGACAACTGTGAACTCTGAGGTGCCGACAGGAAGGGGAGTCTCATGAAGGACAGTCACGGCATTTGTAAAACCTTCCTGGTCACGATCACGCACAATGAAGCCTCGGGTACCGGTTCTCCACCGAAAATTCTTGTGGATTGGGATGACAACTGCTCGATCCTGAGGCACGAGGCAAGCGAAAGCAGTACGAATGCGTGTGGCAAATTGAGACTCGGTGCCATCGAAAGGAGTGAAGGCCCATAGGTTGGTTCCAGCAACAATGACGAAGGTGCTTCCTGGGAAGGATGTCACACAGTTGAGATTTTCGAGATTCTCAATAGCCTTCGTGAACAAAAGGTCTGCAGGGTCAAACGGGCCAAAAGGTAAGCCCGGAATGCCACACGGTAGAGGTGTCATGTTCCGAAGATCCTCCCGGTCATCCGAGGGAGTGGAAGGTGCCAATGATTCAACCCACTTCACTGAGCATAAGTGATAGCCCCCAAGGTACAGATCACATTCTTTGTCGCGGGCCAGGAAGTCAAGGACCGTGTCCGTGGGCATTGGCTTCGCAGAGAAATGTTCAACCCTGATCTGCATCATAAGGTGTGGTTGCAGCTGGAACAACAATGCCCCAAACTCACGAAAATTCAAATGCCAACCAATCTCAATGGGAAAGTCCTCATCAAGAAAGGTAACTTGCACGTTCGGAGTAACAACGTGGAACCGAGGCTTCGGCAAAGACAGGACAAATTGCACCACATTTCGGATCCAAACATGGTCGCCCTCGACAACAAGGACCGTGACATCAGCATGGATGCGGCTCAACCAACACTTGCGAATGCATTCCTGGATAGGAAACGACTGCGTTGTGATCGAAGATAGCATGACCAGGATACCTAGCAATGCATGTGGGACACTAATGGCGTTACCGATCTGGTGAAAGGCATGTGTCAAGTTGAGAGGAATAGCCAAGTCGGTGACAGTTCCCAACAATGCAACGAAGCAAACCGGATCGAGGAAAAAGAATTCCCCATCCTGCTCAACAAGACTGGCATAGATACCCCTGCGAGCTAAATGATTGCGATCCAGGTTGTGCTGCTGTGTGTACGATGAGCACAACGTAGCAAGCGGTTCTTGCGGCAGGGGAATTCTTGCCCGAGCAACTTGCAGGGCAGTAACCGACGGTTGAACCCTGGCTCGCTTGCCAATGGGCAGCAATTGCAACTCACCATAGGTCAAAAACTGATCTGGTGAAAGCTTGAGCTGGTGCTGCACCTCCTGATGCAGGCAGAACGAATATCGTCCATGGAACTATGGGTGGAACCATGAGTTTGAACAAGTTGGTGACTTCCGTGGCCGGAATGTCGGATCGAACCCACAAAGCAAGCCAGCGGTTCCGGTAGTGGTTGGCCAAGTAATGGTAAGGGATTACCTGCTCCCAAGCTTGCTTGAAACCCAACAGGGACATGAGTGCACCAAAAACTGGAAAATGATGATGAGCTTTAATCTCATCGGCGCATTCAACAAGTGCCGCAACCGGTTGAGTTGCGAACAACATCTCGATGCCTTCCAGTAGGGCTAGTCCATGAGTGGAGTCCAGTCCACCACCAGCTCCACCCTTTGACCAGGAAACACATGGCGGGCTCAAGGTCGAAACCAAGTTGAATGGCATGCGTACCGTACGCAAGACTGTAAGGTCAGAAACGGCTGCCTCAACAATGGTCTGCTTGCGCACCACGAACTCACTGCTTGGGTCGAGAGGTGCTTTGACCACCAATGCATCATGATTGATGGCACAGGTTTGCACCACCCGTGGATCCCAGTCGACAAACACTTGCCGATCCAGAACAAATCCGGCGTTGTCTGACGGTAACCACTCCGCTGCCTGGGCCCAACCTCCATAGCCTCCTGCAAAAAGGCGCAGGATGTTCCAATGAAGTTTGGACAATGGTCGCTCCTTTCTGGAATTCCACCTTGGTTCCATCATCTGACAGGTGTTTGAGGACACCCGCAACCAAGATCCTCTCGCTTGTACAAACAAGGGGGTACCTGTTGTCAAGACCTGGAACTCGGACAACAGCATCATGGGATTGCCGTCCTTCCCAATCTAAGCCAGTTCGATGGTGGAGGGCACACAACGAACCGTGGATGTAATCCGCGTGTACAGCATCCACAGTCATAGCGACCATCTTTCGGTATCCAATTGTCCAGCATGAAGAACCATCAAGGAACTGGAGAAGATGGCCAAGACCTTGCGGTCCAATTCAGGATCACGTAGTGATGCCCGGCAGGGGAGGGCCGACATGGGCGGCGGGCACACAGGAACGAAAAGGACGCGCGGTCAGGTGGAACCGGCTGGCTACGAGGGGTCGATCGCCTTTTTAGACGCCAGACCTCGCCTCGCAGCGACGGCCTGGCCCCGGGGGCCTTGAAAACTCCCTGAGGCAAGGGCAGCTCGAGCCGGATGCCTACTAGGGGCTCCTGGCATCGCTACTAGTGGCAAGGGCACTACTACTAGTAGCAAGAAGCTACTAGTAGCCTCCTTTGCGGCCTCCTCTTGCAAAGGGCACCATGTCGCACCACCTGTCCTCTTTTGTTCCCTGCTCCTGTGCCTTTGTAGAGAGTAACACCTCCCAGGACCTTCCTAAGGTCTAAGAGGTTTTCACGTTTAAATCGATTTGTTCAATACAATCGTTGTAACCTTTTTTTGAGGTTGAAGGTCAGTTGATGAGGTTTAGCTGTCGCAAGGCAAGGAACATCAAGATGCTGCAGGACGTGGGTGACGAAGTGGCAACGATGCGACAGATGCGACAACATTGACACCGATTCGAGGGTCAAAACTCAGAACAGGAATCGAAAAACGACCTCAAGGTGTAAATAGAAATCGCTACTAGCAACAAGTGCCTTACTAGTAGTAACAAATTAGAATTAAATTAAATTAAATTAGAACTAAATTAAAATAAATAAGAATCAAATTAAATTAGATCAAATTAGAATTAAATAAATTAGAACTAAAATAGATTAAACTAGAATTGAATTGAATTAAGTTCTAATTAATTTATTTAAAATAAATTAAAACCTCAAGATGTAAAAAAAGATTCAGCACAAGAGGATTAGCATTTATGTTTATAGGCACCTCTTTCTTCTTTTAGGCTGTAGGCCATCGCGGGTAGGTTTCAAGCCATTGCTAGTAAGGTGTGAAAATAACCTACTAGGGGCTCCTGGCATCGCTACTAGGAGCAAGAAGCTACTAGTAGGCCATTGCTAGTATGGTTTTTCTCTTTTTTGCAGGAGGATTTGCATAAAGCACGGATCCACGCAGATTGGTCAGAGCCCGGACGGACCAATGAAGTTGCATTCATGCCTTCACAGCGCAAATGTCTTTAGATCTTTAGACCTTTCCGTTCTTTCTCTTTAACCTAATAGCGATGGCCTCCAACCCATTCCTTTTTCCTTTTTTATCTTTTGCTTTGGAGCTGCAGACCTTTCATTTTCTTTGCTGTTTTCCTTTGTGTTCAGTGTATAAGAGAACTAGCCCAGAAGTTCAAGGCCAGCCCTGTTGGATGTGCCAGAGAAGGTGGAGGACACGCTGTGGTGTCAAATCTGCATACCTTCACGAGGTTGGAGGCCATCGCTAGTAGGGGAGGCGACAACGATGGAGTTCGATACGAACGAAGAGGTTTGATGGGGAGATGCCGGCAAACCAATAGAAACGCGTAAGTCTATTGGGGTGGTGAGCGTTGATTGACGCGTGGATGATGCTGGTGATGCAAGTCATCATGGTGGTGATATTAGTAGTAACAAGAAGCTAGTAGAAACAAGTGCCACGCTACTAGGAACAAGTGCCTTACTAGTAGTAACAAGTGCCTTACTAGTAGTAACAAGTGCATCGCTAGCATCAAAAGGGTTTCTATCACCGCGTTTGATCGAGGAGGAATCGCCGCCGGAAATGGTGGAAGTGGTGCCACTGCCCTCTGTTGTTGCAGCAGCCCCAGGGGTTTTGCGGAAAAGGTGAAAGGAATGGAAAACCTAAAGAATTTTAAAAAAATAGAAAAAAAGAGAAAGAAAGAACCGGTGTTCTTGCACGTCGTTTCGTCGCTTCGAGGTGGCGGGTGAAGTACAGTTGGATTTGTATCCCCGCGGAATCCAAAAAGAGTTCCTCACCTTGCCGCGAGAGATTGTTGAGGCGATGTCTCTTTCATGTCATTTGCAAAAACCTTTGCTTTTTGAGACTTCTACATGCAGTTTGATGTTTTGTTGCTTGTGTTGTTCGAATTGTTTCGGTTGTCGTTTTGTTGTTAGGCCAAGATCCGAGTACCTTTGCCCGAAGGGGCTGAAGTCGACCCTGAGATGGTTTGGGAACCTGGTGAAGCGAACAGAAGCCCCTAATAGCGTCCGATCGCTCCTAGTAGCGATGCCAGGAGCCCCTAGTAGCGTCCTTGCTCGGGGGGGGAGGGCAGGTGGTAGGTAGAGGTAGCTAGTGGGAGCAAACGGTAGCTAGTAGGTACAGGACGCTCTGACATATGGACGCAGGATAGCTAACGCTTCTATTCCTTTGGTTCCTAGATGTTTTGGGAAGCTTATATGGGTGTGAAGGTAGGAAGAACATGAGGACAAACTGGCCTTCAACCTTTGAGCGAACATGAGAAAAAAAAAATCCATGACAAATAATGAGAAAGGAGTTTCTGAATGTCTCAATGGCAGAATGTCATTTGCAATTAATTCCGTGATGAGAATTGCAATTTGTGTCTTCTGAGGAAGGGCGAGCGATGTTGGAAGAGCTTTTGGAAAGTATCAGAGACATGTTGGCGAGCGAGGCCACTTTCAGCTTGACGTTGCCCTAGCAAGGAAACATTAATAGTGTTCTTGGAGATGTTTTTCCGAAGAATCCAGGAAGTTGATATTTTTCGCAGAAGAAATTTCCGCGTTACGGAGAGTTGTAGAATGCGCGAAGCGAAGAAAAGGTGGGTGGCTTGTGCTTTGAAGAGGTGGAAAAGTAGAGAAGTAGAAAAGTACAGAAGAATAGATGAAATAGCGAAATAGGTTGGAGGCCATCGCTAGTAGTAACAAGAAGCTATTAGGAGCAAAGGGCATCGCTACTAGGAGCAAGGACGCTGCTAGGGGCTCCTGGCCGTACTAGGAGCAAGAAGCTATTAGCTTATTGTTTCTACTAGCTTCTTGTTACTACTAGTAAGGCACTTGTTACTACTAGCGATGCACTTGTTACAACTTGAAATCTTGCAGAGGTCACCGCACATCACGTCAGGAATCGCCACACATCTGAGCCTGTCACAGCTTACAATGTAAAGCATGTCAACATTTAATGGCTTCCAACCTACTAGCGATTGCCTTGTTTCACAATGTGTTTAATTTGTTCTTAGAAAACGTGGAAAAGCAAGTAAACTATGGAGAAAGTTCCAACATGCCGAATGGCCGCCTTGAACCGAGTGCGCAGGATGAACTCAGGAAGATTGGGGGCATGGAAATTCAGGACAGTTGATTCCAGAAAGTTTCAGATTCTTGTGGTGTGGATTATCCCTTGTGTTGCTGCTCTACACTACCCTTTGCTACAGCCAAAGACAGCTTCGTCAAGGAAGTGCAGAAATTGTTTTTTACTTGTTTACTAGTAAGAAAGAGCAGGAAAGGAAAGAGAGTCTAAAAGTCTAAAGAAAAGGGAAATAGAAAGACAAAATTGTGTTTGCGAAATTGGCTTCCGTTTTTAAAGAAAAGCAAGGAATGAAACGCAAGGATGATGGTGCTTATCGGCATGTGACCTTGCCCGTGGCGCTGTACCTCAGCGCCAGCACCAGCTCCCAAGACATCATCGAGGCGACAACGTGATCAGCATGTAGTAACTGATCAGCATGAAGACTCGGCTTAGTCAAAGAAGTTCGATGGACAGAACAGGTGCATATTGTGTTTTTTTCATAGGCCTCTGCCGCTTTTCACTTTTCTTTAGGCCTTTGCCGCTTAAGTAACTCTTCGGATGCTTTCTTGTCATAGAATGGCCCACTAGCAGAAAAGGCAATTCGCTTGAGATCGTTGTTGTCGTCACGCCAACAGCATCCGCTGTTCTTCGTTCGAATTGGGGGGCCATTTTGTTCTGCATGGGGCGATGCCCTTGTTCCTAGTAGCGTGGCACTTGTTACTACTAGTAAGGCACCTGTTACTACTAGCGATGCCCTTGTTACTAGCTTGAGCTAGTAGCGTCCTTGGCAAAGGAAGAGTTTTTGCTTAACTTGGGAAAGCAGAGTCTCTTCCAGGCCTTCTTCAGGGAGGCTGATGATGAAGAAGAAAGAGGTGGATGACCAAACATGCTGAATACGATTTCTTCGATCAAGTCGTTGCAAAAAGACTCGAATGTTGTAAAATGAAGTAGGGCCAAACGAACACACAAAGCTACGCAAATGACCGATTTTTGTTGATGAAGGTCCCTTTAAAGGGTCCTTTATCGCTACTAGGGTGGAGGCCATCGCTGTTCGACACAAGGAAAAAAGAAAACGAAGAAAAGGAAAAAGGGAAAAAGGAAGGTAAGGTGAAGGTCCATAAAGGTGTAGGTTTTGGCACCACGGATCTATATGCGGATTCTTCTGTGAGTTCCGACGGATTCAAACCGTAGGGAGGCCGCTATGTTCACACTGTTCATGACTAAGGCGCTAAAACCGAAGCAGCCTTTCACCGCTCGAAGTCTTTCTCCAAACGCCGTGCAGCACTTCTCAGTGGGGCAGTGAACAGTCTTGGAAAACACAGGAACTCAGAGACTTCTTTTCTTTTCATACCTTCACTCTTTGCACTTCTTTGTTCTTTTCAAGTCTTTTCTTGTAGGTTGTGAAGACCCTTTGGAAATCCTTGAGTGTGTGCCTCAGAACTTTGCGCACAAAGATAGACCAGAACTGGCTGCGGGCTGGCAGCATTCTTCCTTAATAGAAGAAAGAAGAAAGAAAAAGAAACCTAGAAGCAATGGCCTCCAACCTAAGAGTGATGGTCTCCAACTACCCGTCCTTTTTTGTCGCTTGCACGTCATATCTCATGTCAGGAGATCGGAATGCCCGACCAGACTTAAACAGTCACTGCCAGGGTCTCACAGTCCTCGAGCAAAGAAAGGAAGCAAAAGGACAAAAACGGAAAGGTGCAAAGAAAGACAAGAAAATGAAAAGAAAAACATGTTTAAGGGATTGTTTCCTTGAAGAAAAAGGATTAAAAAGAGGCGATCTCATGACAAGACAGCGATTGCATGTGCGATTCAAGGCCTGCATGATGTGCGTGGCCGTGTGCTCCGGCGCATCACTGCAGAACTGCGAGATCCCTAAGAAGCGTAGCAGCGAGAACGGTGTAGAAATGCAAAAGAAATGTGTTGCTTTTTGTTCATATGAACCATGTTCGCTACTAGGGGCTCCTGGCCATACTACTAGGAGCAATGTTCGCTAGTCCTTATTTGGAATTAGAATGAGTTGATCTGTGTTCCATTTTTTGGCGAGTAGGCCGTAGAGGTGAGGTAGCTAGGTAGCTAGTAGCTGACAAGTAGCTACTACCGACAGGACCCAGGATAGCTCACGCACTAATGATTTGGTTCCTAGATTTTTTAGGACACTTAACCTTCAACTTAGGTTGGAGGCCATTGCTAGTAGGTTTCACGTCGTTTACCCGGACTTCTTAGCCATGTGAGTGGCCATTCCCGTGTCTTCCAGACCTTGCCTAAGAAGCTCTTGGTTTGTTGACACGGTTTGATTACACCTGTAGAGCCCAATCGTGCGAGTTTTCTTTCACTTAGATCATTTGCAACCAAAGCCCATGCGTTGGTCGTTTTTTGCCCTAAGTGTTTGTCACTGTTTGTCAGTGAAGATCTCTCCGTTTCTCAAAACATAATCTACCATTTCTGAAAGCGGGACGAGGCTGGCTTCTGGTGAAGTGTTTCTGACGCTCCGAGTATTTCCCGTTTCCAAAAAGACAGATGTAACAAATGGATCTGGAAACAAGTGCCTTACTAGTAGTAACAGGTGCCTTACTAGTAGTAACAAGAAGCTACTAGTAACAAGTGCATCGCTTCTAGTAACAAGTGCCTTACTAGTAGTAACAATGTTCGCTATTAGAAACAAGAGCGTCCGTGTTACTACTAGTAAGGCACTTGTTCCTACCCCCCCCCCGCGCGCGCGCGCGCGAAAAGGTCCTAGTAGATTCCTTTGCTAGTAATTACAATTCTAATTACATTCTTATTGTTACTAGTAGTAAGGCACTTGTTTCTAATAGCTTCTTGTTACTACTAGTAAGGCACCTGTTACTACTAGTAAGCCACTTGTTACTTTCTCTTTTTCCTTCGCTGAGATTTTGGACCCAGCCCACCAACTACAGAGAATCGATGGATGCAACGTGCATTGCCACTGCCTGAGGATCAGGTCCTTTCTGCTCCAAGTCCGACCGGAATGATGTGTTTGATTCTTTTAATGGTTGGAGGCCATCGCTAGTAGGGTGGAGGACATTGCTACTGGACAGTAATGAAGTGTTTCTCAATTCATTACTCAGACCACAGTCAAGGTGATGAGCGCTGATGGTTTGATGGAGGTTGTAAATGCTCGTGGTGGAAGACTTAGTTCGTTGACACTCTACAGACTTGACCTTTTTGAGCACTTTTGATGTCTTTTTCTTTGAGTTTTGAGTTTGAAGGAAGTCAAAAGAAAGAAGACTGACGCGTCGTTTCCCCACAGAAGACCATTCCTTTGACATTTTTTGCGCAATGGGCCACACTAGGGGTTCTTACGATAAGTAAGGTCGGGTGTCTGATCGGTGGTGCTCGCATCCGTGTCCGGGTAATTAGTAGTTTCTTGTTACTAGTAGTACGAATGCTCCGTTCGTAGCGATGCCCTTTGCTCCTAGTAGCTTCTTGTTCCTAGCTATTTCACGGTGCATTCATTCACCTCGAAATCTTCGATGTGCATTTCGACTGCGCAGGCTCGCAGAAATTGGTGGGCTGGCGTGAGTGCATTCTTCAACTGCGCTCTCATTGCGGTGCCGTGCATATTTTCGGACTTGGTGGTCACTTTTCGTGGCAGGGGCGGGAACAGTGAATCGCGATCTTTGGCTGCGTTTTGGCATCTTGATGTTGTCGTGGAAGTTCTCTTGCTTGGAACAGCTGCGCGACGTGAATCTTGATGCGCAGATTTCGGGGCAGGCGCAGCACTTTGTGAACTGCGGCAGGTGCAGCAAATGCGCTTTCATATGTAGGCACCCACGCATGCTTTTATGTATGTGACTTTGTGTGCTCCCATATGTACGTTCTCACGCGTGTGCTTTCATATATGTGTGTTGTCCAGACCTCGAGCCAACCCTCCAGCCCTCTAGCATCTCTCCACCTTTGCACCTTGAGCTCTTGACGTTTCAGATCTCAAGATGTCTAGATCTCTCAATCCAAGACATCTCTGGGTCTAAGGATCTCTGCTCTCTCGACGCCTCTTCTCCTCTACATCTCTCTCGATCTCACGAATTGCTTTGGATCTCTAGATCTTTCTGGTGCCCAATACATCTAGATTTCTAGACCTTCTGCTTCTACATTTTTAGACCCTGGACCTCTGGACACACTGTTTGGGGTCTCTTGCAGGGATAACTTGGTTGTTTGTTTTTCTTGTCACCTTGCAAGCTTCTTGATGCTTGGCTGCGCCTCAGGCATACATGGTGCATTTTATGGTGTTGATCAAGGGTCCTATCGATTGCAGTCGAAGGCCAGTCTTGTCGATTGCTCCAATTGCTGGTCAGGATTGGCAGTGATCAGTGCCAAGCCCCTCCAAATCTTCAAGTTATCTTCATCGGGCTGGAAAACATGTTTGGCTCTCAAAAAACCTTATCAAATCTACTTTTCTTGTCCCCAGCCGGGCACTTACAATTCGAAAGCTGCTTTGGTGCCTATGTTGAGCGACAATGTGCTAGTGAAACGGTTTCTCCCGGCACAGCTCTCATCATGTTGCCCTCGTCCACGATGCCCCAACAGAACCCAACAGGTTTCTCACTCGGGTTTTTCCGGAAAGCGGTGCAAAATCCAACTGCCCTTTTTGGCCCAGGTTTTTTCTGCGTTCTCGGTGAATATTGCAACACTTCTGTTTTAGGGGGTAAAGCTGGCGTGGGACACAGAAGGGTTTAGGATTACAGGATTGATTTGGTTCCAGGGTTTGTGGGAAACTTAACAATTTTGCACGTCGATACTTCTCTTGTTCGCCTGGTTTGTGTTGAGAAGAGGAAAGGTCTAAAGGTAGAAAAAGAACAAAGTGCAAAGAATTGGGCAATTTGTTCATTCTGTTCTTTGTCCGTTAGCATTGTCTCCAAAGAGCCCGACTCCAGGGTGTGGATGCGCTCTTTGGTGCTGTGTCACATTTGGGCACCGAACGGACGGAGCCCACGGGGAACGACCTCCAGCCGGGGCACCTCAGAGAAAGAGAAAGCTTTCAGAAAAGAAAAACGGCTTCCAACCTGTGGACTCGCACAGGACCCTGCGTTTTAGCAGCAACCCTGCGATTAAGGAATCTGGTGTTTCGGTGGTCTTTTTTGAGAGCGTGATGGATACACCACCACTAGAACCACCGTTGAGGCAGTTCAGCTCAGATTCATAAGAAACTCCAAAACAAAGGAAAGGGTTGCCATTAAGGTTTTTCAAGGCACAAATCCAAGAATCTGAGTCTGAAAACAAAAACTATCAGATCTGAACATGGCAGGTAGAATCCTCAAAAGCATTGAAGTCACAAATTACACCTTGGGAACTACCGTGGGACCCCCTGAATAGGACCCAAAACTACACGATGCAATGCAGTCAGTCTGGACCTGCACACTTCCACTGTGACTCGCACCCATCATGGGAGTGGTGAAGGGTATAATCAGAAATTGTACATCCGGAATCACATCCGCTAATCACAATTGAAGGACGGAAGCCAAACAGGTGCAATTCCCTAATTGCAGGCTTGACTTTTCAATCCAAGATATCAAACCCTTTATAGCAGGCAAGATTCCTTAATCGCGGGGTCACATTCCTTAATCGCAGGGCTGACTCCTTAATTGCAACATGCATGTTGTAATTAAGGCTTTGGAAAAATTGAAAATTATGGACAACTAGCTTCCTTTGCAGAATCCAGGGGACATTTTTGCAAAGCTGTCATTCAGAATCTGGTGAGTTCCTTTGAAAGGCACTGTTTGCACCCAAATCTGGGGGACACTTTTTCCCAAAACCTTAATTACAACATGCATGTTGTAGTTAAGGAATCAACCCTGCGATTAAGGAATCTGACCCTGCGATTGAGGAATGTGTTCATGTGATTGAGCAGGTTCGCTCAACTGCTGCGATTGTTGCAGTGCCACTTAGTTCTGTTTTTTGTCTCAGCGCCACACTGTTCCGTTCAGTAGTGCGGTGCACAGTGCACACGTTGCAGTTTTTTGTGAACGCTACCTTTGAGCCGATTTGGCGGATTAAGTGAACAAACCCATCTTCTGACTACAAACCTGAACTATTGATCAAGAAAACAAAACAGCTGTTTTGGTGACCCAAGGTTTTCGTGTGCATTTGGGCATTTGGGCAGGGGAAAGGCCTTGCGTGAAAACAACCTTTGAGGCCGCGAAATAAGGATGTTTGAGTGTGACGTCCCTTTGCTGTTCCTTTTTCACTTGGTCTTTTCTCGCCCCAACCAAACCCGCTTCAAAGCCAACAACCCACAACACAATGTTGCAACGCAGTCCAAGTGTCCACACCACGCAGTGACACCAAACAACTGCACGGAAAAGTGGCTTGTGACTGAGGAGTGAGTCTCAAACATGCCTGCTTTGCAGCAAGAGCCCAATTGTGAAAACACGGTCGCGCAAGCTTCCCTTTTGATCCCGCTCCTTGAGCCAAAGTCACAGTCGGTTTAGATTGTCTCAAAGGTTCTCAAAGCTTCTCCAAAGCTTGTCCAGTTCTTCTTTAAAAGGTCAAGACTATTCACAGTCATCACAAACTTTTGGGAGGTGATCAGTGAGAAGTAGTAGTTAAAAACAGCTTCATCGCAGACCCCTTTCTTAATTGCAGGTGTCAACCCCTCGCTGTGCAAGTCAACACTCCAACCTAATACAGAATTTAGAAAAAACTAACAAAAGTGATATGAGGCGAAGCCTTGGCGTGAAATCAGCCCAATGGGCTGCCTGATCGTTTGCAATGACATGCGATCATAACAACATGCAACATGTCGGCGTAGCGCGTATACCCACATATGTGAAGCATGACAACGCAACGACAAGCAAGAATCAGAACCCCCTCAGAGTGGGCCACTCTAGAGCCTGCCGGCATGTCAGCGGGGCAGAATGGCTCACGACTTCATCTGAGTGTGAAAACATGTCAGCATATTGGAGCGAGAACGCCTCAGGACGTCAGCATGTTAGCATGTTAGCGCGCACTGTCAGCATGACATCATGCTTGCAAAGTCAGTGAGAGAGAAAATAATCTTAGAAGCATGGTAGCTTGACGGCGCAACATGCCAGCATGCCGACATGCAAGCATTCAACCATGACGGCAGCGGAACGGCAGCATGTCAAAAAGCTCCAAAACTTGCGCCGGGACCTGCTTTGGAAGCCGCAACCTGCTCTCCGTTGGCCAAAAGACCGAAGGCCCAAACGAGAAATCAAAAGGTCTGCGAGAAAAAACGAAAAGAACAAATAGGACAGAAATGTTCACAGAAAAGTCAAAGAAAGATGGAAAAATGACAGCGATAAAACATATAAAGCAAAAAGTAATAAAAGGGTAGGGCAAACAGAAACAAGGTCTAAACAAAATAGTAAGAGAAAGAGAAGACCAAATGAAAATACAGCAAGGCCTAAAGGGAATAAACACCTTAAAAACAAGCAAAAATACTATTTAAAGAAAAATAACGCTAAAAATCGTGCCTGCCACACACGAACTTGCGGACTGTCTGTCGCGCGCCTCACGGTCCTTCCCTACGGGGGTGCGGGAGGTCTGTAGATGAGAAACAAGGTAAGTAGACACTGCGCAAAAGAGTAGCCACGTAGTCCACAAAACAACTGGACAGAACATGCGTGACTTGCGCGTAGCATCACACAAATCAGTAATCTTGAATTATTTCACCTGATTGCAGACAAGAAAGAAGTGTCTTCAAAAATGCCTGTAGAAAATTGAAAGAACTGAACAAAAATCTAAAGAAAAGGCACTGTATGAAACAAATTGTTTACGGATAAAGAAGGACAGGCCTAAAGGAAGGATGAAAAGAAATAGAAACCTCAAGAAAACAATAAAGAGGAAGAAAGAGTTGTCCAAAGAGAAAGACAAGAAAGAAATGCAGGTCCAACCTTGACGTGATTCCAGTATGCGCTTGAAAATCTTGAAACAAGGCCCTGACGGAACCCAGTGCCACCTCTTCCATCGCTGCGTGGATCTGCAGTGGCTGCTGCTTCGCCTTGGCAGTGCGCCAAGCGAAATGCCCGTGTTCATCACATTTCCCGGCTTGGGTGGCACACCCCCCAGCATTCCCTGCGCAAAAGAAACGACTCAGGGAGCCCTTTCTTTCCCAGGATGCTCTAAGGACGGCGCAGCTGGGTCAACAAGATCGAGAAATGCGCAAAGCATCAACGAACCAATGACTTGTCGCCTCCCTCAGATCTCATCTGACTTCCTGAACTGTTCGAACTGGAAGAGCACAGCGCATCCTTCTGTTATCCCCACCCTCCCCTGTTTGCTTTTGCTGGTTTCTACACGTTTTACTTTTTGTTTTCTTTCGGCCTGTCTTTCTAGCTTCCTTTGCTTAATGTCTTTCTTTAGACTGGTTTTATCCTTTCATTCTTGCTCTTTTGACTTGTGTTTCCTTTATTGATATTTGTTGCGTTTACATTTTGCCTGTCATGATCGACTTAGGAATGAATAGGCAAGAGGGTGATGCAAAAGAAGGCAAGTCCAAAGAAACCGTGAATGAAAGTAAAAGAAATGGCTCAAGGAAGATAAAAGCAACATGTCTAAAGAAAAAGAAAAGCAAAACAAAGGTCGAAGGAAGAAAACAAACAATAAAAAAGCAAAGGTCAAAAAAGAAGAAACCGGAAGAATGGTCAACAAAACAATATGTTACAAAAGAAAGAAAGGTCTAAAGAAACATTGCGAAAGGCAAAAGGAGAGCTTGGAAAGACAGTGAACCAATGAAAGAAACAAAAATAATCTAAACAAACTAGACGACGAGTGGCCCGAAAGCATTTTTCATCACGTGTGAAGTTAGAGTGTGAGTTATGTGTTAAGTGTTCAGTGTTAAGTCGAGTGTGTTGAGGCGGTGTGTGGGTCTCTGTGTGTGTGTGTATCTATGTCTGTGTGTGTATGTGTCTCTCTCTGTATGTCTTTCTGACGCGCAGGAACACCTTTTTTCTGCAAGTTCTTGACTCTCGCAAGTCACCTGCGTACTGGAGTTGTACTACCAAGTCGCCAGTTCTCATCTTCCAGCTCCCCCGATACTCCGCGTACTAGAGTGGTACTACCAAGTCGCCAGTTCTCATCTTCCAGCTCCCCAGATACTCCGCGTACTCAAGTTGTACTACCAAGTCGCCAGTTCTCATCTTCCAGCTCCCCAGATACTCCAAGTCGCCAGTTCTCATCTTCCAGCTCCCCAGATACTCCGCGCACTAAAGTTGTACTACCAAGTCGCCAGTTCTCATCTTCCAGCTCCCCAGATACTCCGCCTACTAAAGTTGTACTACAAAGTCGCCAGTTCTCATCTTCCAGCTCCCCAGATACTCCGCGTACTAAAGTTGCACTACCAAGTCACCAGTTCTCATCTTCCAGCTCCCCAGGTACTCCTCGCACTATAATTGCACTACAAAGTCGCCAGTTCTTAGCTTCCAGCTCCCCAGATACTCCGCGCACTAAGTTGTACTACCACGTCGCCAGTTCTCATCTTCCAGCTCCCCAGATACTCCGCGCACTACAGTTGCACTACAAAGTCGCCAGTTCTCATCTTCCAGCTCCCCAGATACTCCGCGTACTAAAGTTGTACTACCAAGTCACCAGTTCTCATCTTCCAGCTCCCCAGCTACTCCGCGTACTAAAGTTGTACTACAAAGTCGCCAGTTCTCATCTTCCAGCTCGCCAGCTACCCCGCGTACTAAAGTTGTACTACAAAGGCACGATCTCCGCACAGAGTTGCCCGCGTCCAGGACGAATCGCGCTCTCGCCTGCATTTCGCGCACTCGACACGCACGATCTAGAGGGTTGCGCGCGGACCGTGGCAATCGCACTCTCGCCTGCATTTCGCGCACTTGACACGCACGATCTCCGCAGAGGGCATGCGCGCGCACCGGACAAATCGCACTCTCGCCTCCATTTCGCGCACTCGACGCGCACGATCTCCGCAGAGGGTTGCGCGGGCATGGGACAAATCGCACTCTCGCCTGCATTTCGCGCACTCGA